GTCCCCTGTCCCCTGTCCCCTGTCCCCTGTCCCCTGTCCCCTGTCCCCTGTCCCTGTCTCTGGATGTTTTCGCTGTCCCAGTTCCTGTCTCTGACCCTGTCCCTGTCCCTGTCTCTGGATAGTGTCTGTTTCTCTGGGCGGGGTCTCTGGGCAGCGTCCCTGTCTCTGGACTTGGATTCCAGACACTGACTCTCACTCTGGGCCGTCAAAGTGTGCCTCCAGTGGTCGGGCCAGGTACGACACGTGTTGCTGGTATTGAGTGTTGATTACAGATGTATCAAGGCTCCGGTTCCCTCTCCCTCCCTCCTTTTTCCCCCCACTCCCCCTCAGGACGCGTCCCTCCCCTCTCTCCCTCTCTCCCTCTCCCCCTCCCTCCCTCCCTCCCCCTTTCTCTTCTCTTTCTCTTTCTCTTTCTCTCTCTCTCTCTCTCTCTCTGTGTTTTCTCTCTGATCCCTCTCTCCTTCCCCCTAATCTCTCTGTTTGTTTGTCTTGCAGTATCCTGGAGTCGTCCAGAGCATTGATAGTGATCTCCGAAACCTGACTGCCCTTCTCAACATGAGCAACGCACTCCCCGCAGGTAAGGCACCCCCCCGACCCTCCCCCAGCAGGTACGGTTCCCCCCTCCCCCACAGGTAATGCTCCCCACCCTCCCCCCTCTAAAGCAAGTAAGGCTCTCTGGCCAAGTCAGGAGTGTGAGGGAATACCCCCCACTTGCCCCTGGATGGGGGCAGCTCCAACAACACTCGAGAAGCTCGACACCATCCAGGACAAAGCAGCCCCCGCTTTGATTGGCACCACATCCACAAACATCCCACTCCCTCCACCCACCGACGCTCAGTCGCAGCAATGTGTACCATCTACAAGACGCACTGCAGCAACTCACCGAGGCTCCTTAGACAGCACCTTCCAAACCCACCACCACTTCCATCTAGAAGGACAAGGGGCAGCAGGTACATGGGAACACCACCCCCTGCAAGATCCCCTCCGAGCCACTCCCCATCCTGACTGGGAAATATATCGGCCGTTCCTTCAGTGTCGCTGGGTCACAATCCTGGAATTCCCACCCTAAGGGGCATTGTGGATCTACCTACAGCACACAGACTGCAGTGGTTCAAGAAGGCAGCTCCCCATCACCTTCTCAAGGGGGCAACTAGGGACAGGGCAATAAATGCTGGACCTAACCAGCGACTCAAGGCCCCATGAGCGAGTTTAAAAATAAGCGCCACCCCAATCCTGTGCATGTTAATATTGATGAAAATACCTGATAGGGAAGCAGCAGGATATTTGACCAGGAAAGCCATCACACCAAATCAGTGAGTGGGATCTCAGGTGCTGAAGGATGTGGCAGAAGCTGGAACAATTTCTCTTTCATTACTCCCCCCTCTTTGCCCCCGGCCTGGGGGTAGTTTCTGTAAGGAGTGGGGATCTGGCATAGCTGAGGCCAGTTGTTGTAACGCTGTGAGGAGGATACCATGGTGTGTGAGTGTGTACTGCCTCTCCAACAGGACTGTTCCCGGAACATGCCATCGAGGTGATCAGCCGGGAGTTAGCGCTCGAGTGTGACTACCAAAGGGAGGCTGCCTGCACCATCAGGTTCAAGTGAGTAAGAAACAAGGATGGTCCCTCACCCAGGCCACCCCCCTCTCCACCACCCACACCGCACCCCCCCCCCACCCACACTGCACCCACATCCCACCCACACCGCACCCCCCCACTCCCCCACCCCACCCACACTGCACCCCCCTCCCCCACCCACACCGCTCCCCCCACTCTCCCGCCCCACCCACACCCTGACCACACCATCCCCCCACCACTCACACCGCCCCCCCCGACTCCCCCACCCCGTGTGTGTCTGTGTGTGTGTGAGAGAGAGAGAGAGTGTGTCTGTGTCTGTGTGTGTGTGAGTGTGTGTGTGTGTGAGAGAGTGTGTCTGTGTCTGTGTCTGTGTGTGTGTGTGAGAGAGTGTGTCTGTGTCTGTGTCTGTGTCTGTGTGTGAGAGAGTGTGTCTGTGTCTGTGTCTGTGTGTGTGTGAGAGAGTGTGTCTGTGTCTGTGTCTGTGTCTGTGTGTGAGAGTGTGTCTGTGTCTGTGTCTGTGTGTGAGAGTGTGTGTGTGTGTGAGAGAGTATGTCTGTGTCTGTGTGTGTGTGAGAGAGTGTGTCTGTGTCTGTGTGTGTGTGAGAGAGTGTGTCTGTGTCTGTGTGTGTGTGTGAGAGAGTATGTCTGTGTCTGTGTGTGTGTGAGAGAGTATGTCTGTGTCTGTGTGTGTGTGTGAGAGGTGTGTCTGTGTCTGTGTGTGAGAGTGTGTCTGTGAGTGTGTGTGTGTGAGAGTGTGTCTGTCTGTGTGTGTGTGTGAGTGTGTGTGTGAGTGTGTGTGTGTTTCAGGTGTATGTGCGAGTGTATGTATTCGAGTGTGTGTGTGTGTGTGTATGCATTTGTAATGTTTATGTGCTAGTGCATGCGTGTTTATGTGTGTTCCTGCATGCATGCATGAGTGTGTGTGCAAGAGATTGCGCACGTTCACGTGTATGGTGCACATGTGTGTGCTCGTGTATGCGAGAATGTACACATTCACGTGTGCGTGCATGTGTATGCTTGTGTGTTCCTCCTTGGATATCCATGTACAGGAGGCAGTTTGCTGGAGGCTGGGGGTGGTGGGGAATGGGGATAGGGAGCAGGGCGGTGGGTGGGAGAGACAGACTGTGGTGGGGGGTGGGATTATGGGGGGGAGAGGATGTGGTTCTGTGTGACAGAGGGCACTGCCAGTCCTCTACCCCTGTACCCTCGGGCCCTCTGGTGTCAGGCGGTCAGTGCCCGGTGGTCATTCGTTCATGTGTGGCCCATGCTTGCCCCTCGAAGGGTGGGACTGGTGTGAATGGGCACTGGCCAGGCTGACCGTGGCGCTGTTGGTCAGGGGCGCTCAGAGCCCCTCTCTGCCAGCTGGGCAGCGGGTCTCTCAGCCTTCCCTCCTACCCCTGACCTCTGTTACCGATGCTGTCCCCCACAGGGAGCTTCTGGTGGATGAGCCCTACTTTAATGTTCCATCTGTCATCAAGGAGCTCAGCAGCAAGAGGGTCCTGACCACTGAGCTGGTCCCTGGCTTCCCCCTCGATAAGGCCGAGGCGCTGGACCAAGAGACCAGGAACGAGGTAAAGGAAGATCCCGTTTGCTTTGCGCGGGGAGATGGGGCAGTAGCATTGCGCAGAAACGTGAGAGATCCTGGCCCACATCTCGCAGGTTAGAGTTCACGCTGCAGAATTTGGCCGTTCGGCCCATCAAACCTGCACTCCGCCATCCCCAATCCCCTTCCCTAATAACCCTTTCCCCTGAAAAGAACAAGGAAAATTACAGGCCCTTCGGTTGTCCAGGCCTGCACCGACATGCTGCCCTTTACAATTAAAAGCCCCCCACCGATCCTTCTGGGGACCGTATCCCTCTATTCCCATCCTGTTTGTCAAGACCCCCTTTATCTAATTCCCTGTTCGAACGTTCCGGTTAAATCTGCCTTAGCGGTCAGCTTTGACCCCAGCCCGCAAGCTTTGACCTCTCCCCCACCCGGCCCACCTCAATTAAAAATCCGTCCAACGGGACCTTGGATATCATCAGATTTCCGAAGCCTTTCCCGGTTGAGAAAATAGTCTGCGCCTCTATTCTTCCTCCCAAAGTGCATAACCTCACGCTTTCCCACATTGTATTCCATCTGCCTCTTCCTTGCCCGCTCTTCTACTCTAGGTGGCAGAATATCCCTTGTTAGACAAGAAATAACATTGGCCAACCGAATGGCATGGTGTTGAAAGGGACCAGTTGAACAGCATGCTGGGAATTAGATCAGGCCAGACAAGATATGCAAGGCATTTACCTTGACTAATATGGAATAGGTGCTAAATGAGACAAGGTTACCAAGGTATTAATGCCAGGAATCTTACCAGCCATTTACCTTTGACTGACTATTGAATGGGTGCTGATGAGCCAATGCTTGGGGGGTAGAGAGTTCCTCAGGACCCAGGAACAAGGTGCTGCAGAAGCTAAGCAGCACCCGAAGAAAAGAAATCAGGTTTAACGTTTCGGGCCCGGTGACCCTTCCTCAGAACGTTTTCCTCAGGCCCAGGGACAATAGATTCCTCCTCGTCCCCACCTTAAACAGGGAGACCCCTGATTCCCGAGCCGCGACCAGATTCCCCGGACCCGCCCGCCACCTCTCGGCATCAAATTGCCCCCTCGAAATGTCTTAGTAGGATCACCTCTCCTTTAGCTGAACTCCAACAGATCCAGGCTTGACCCCCAAACCCCACCCCCCTCACTTCTCAACAGGAGAGATGGTAGAAATAGATACGATAGCAATGTTTAAGAGGCACTGAGACACAGACCTGGATGGGCAGGGAATAGACGGATACAGACCATGAGAAGGGGATAAGTTTTAGGTTTGCATCGTAGTGGGTTCAGATATGATGAGCCAAAGTGGTCCCAGTGCTGTACCATTCAATATTTTACTGCAGCCTTCTCCCTAATGAGTTACTTTATCTGCGCAACTAATTTCTTTTTTCGCGATTTGGGCTTTCCGCTGTCTCTCTCCATTCAAAGCAGAGTTTTGCGTTTCATGCTGAAGTTCACATCACACTCCCATCAGCTGTTGTCGTTTTCTTAGTCAACTCACTCGAGAGCCCTTGCTCCTTGGGAGTTGTGCATTTTGTCAGTCCTTGTCTCTCTCTCTCTGCCCATGTACAGATCTGTGCCAACATCCTGAGGCTATGTCTGCGAGAGCTGTTTGAATTCCAATACATGCAGACTGATCCCAATTGGTCCAACTTCTTTTTTGACCCAGTCAGTCGCAAGGTACGTGCCAGGCCCAGTGCCATCTGAAGGGAGACAGACCCTTGCATTCACTTTTGGCATTGTTGGCTCCTCCCAACATTAGTTGCTGCAGTTAAAGAGGGGGGTTTCCCTATTGGGTACCCCTGGAAAAGAGGCAGTCTCTCCCCACGGGGGACCCCTGTTAAACAGGGAGTCTCTCCCCACGGGGGACCCCTGTTAAACAGGGAGTCTCTCCCCACGGG